AGTCAAGGAGTTAAAAAGGCTTCCCAGAGTGGCTGTGCAGCAAAAAACCTGTAATTTATCTATTTCACAGAAGTGTTTCGCCTTGAATCTGGAAGTCTCATTACTTAAACTACAAAGACAATAAAAATATTTTAATCAAAATATTTGGATTGGACAAATCCTTTGCTACTTCTCTTGATTTGTTCTAAGATTTTAAAAAAATGGAAAGGACTTGAAACCTAAATGTTATATTTCACTGAACTTAGAAGGGAAAGTTTTTTGTTTCAGGATGAGTTTTTTCTTTTCCTTTCCTATTTGAAAGGAGCAAAAATTGAGTAAAAATTTATTTTTGTGCTTGCCATTCTGCAAAACTCTGTGCACACTAAAAAATACCTTTATTTTCCTGCCCCTCTTTTTTTTTTTTTAATTTTCACAAGCCTCTTTGTAATCAGTAAATTACCCACTAAATCTAGATGAGTCTCTTCCCTTCTTTAGTTATCCTGGTTTTCCTGTACCTTTCCTTGCCCATTATCTGGAGAAAGGAGAGGAACATTCATCATTCCCCAGGGCTGAAGATTGGCATTGCCTTGGCAAGGAAAAGGGAGCAGGGGAAGATGGTTGTGTTGCTTTGCTCATCTGTGCTTTCTCTCAGGGTGCTGCTCATGTCTGATTAGCCTGCTTAATGAAGAACATCTTGTTAAAATTAAAGATCTGTCGTATTTAGCATAATCTTGCCAATTGTTAATTAGTGTATTGACAGGAGAACGGGTTGGATTTTGCTTTCCAGCAGCATCTTCTCCCCTCCCCAGGCCTGTCCTGCCAAAATAAAGATCCTTGCAGTCACAACATGTTTGGGAGCCCATATGACACGTCTGTGAAGGCTGCCTTGGAGCACTGGTGCACAGGGAAGATACATAAACTATTAGAAAAATCCAGTGTGAAATCTCAAAGCACAGGAGACTCAGGGCTGGGGAATCCTTTGTGTCACTAATTTATCATGTAGATACAGATTCCACATCCTTTAATGCTGTTTTCCCTGGTTTGGGCAGGTTCTGGTGTTCATTCATGCTTTTGAACAGGAGCCAGTTGATACAAAAGCTGTGTTTATAATCTCTATTTCAGGAGCAAATGTTTTGTTTGTCCTCTTTCTGCTGACTGAGGTGCTTAGAATCTGATCTTTAGTCTCCCCTAGGGCAGCTTTGATTGATTGATTAATTGATTGATTGATTTGTTGTAATTTCAGGGGAAATTTTAGTGGGAGTTAGTTTTTAATTTCAGTGTAGCAAGTGATGGAGCTGGTGATGGAGCTGGTACCAATGAGGGACCATCCCTCATCATTCCTCCTCCTCATGGAACCTCATGATCCATGATTCACATGTTTGGGAGAAAGACAAATAGTGGGGATGTGGAGAACTTTTTGATGGCACTTAGCAGGTGAGGTTAGGTCAGGGTTGCTGTCACTTCATATAAATCAGGGGCAATGCTTTGCATTTGTCTTTGGGGACAGCTGCCTCATTCCCTGGATTGTGAAAGGTGCTCAAGTATTTAATGCAAACACCCAACTGCCTGAAATTAAATAGTTTTTTAGGTCTTCTACCTCTCCTTGTAGGGTTTGTAATGGCCCAGACTGATCTTAAATTTCTCTACAAAAATTTGTTTTTCTGCTCTTAAATCAGTTTGCAAGTCACTTTATGAATAAAAGCATTAAAAGGGATTGAAAAGAAAGAATCCTGTAGCAAGCTGTATTCCTTTTTCTTTGCCCTAAGATACCATGGTCACAACATTTGTCAGTTCAATCCATGTCAAATTAGACCCCGGCTCATTAATTTCTGCCCCACAGTTGGTGTCCTAATGGCTCAGTGATTGACATGTTGAAGCTATTATCTTCCATTCAGTTGGATCATCCTCAGGCAGGAGCCTCTAGTCATCTCCTCAGTGTTTGTGGCAGCTCTTCTGGGTCAGAGCGTGCTCTCCAATGTGAAATAGGAAAACCAAGACTTCATTCACAGGATGGATGTTTAAAAGGAATTTTACTAAAGCAGCATGTGGAGAAAAAATAAAATTTTTAAAAAGGGATAAAAGGACACAGTGAAACTTCAAGCAAAAAATTTATCTTCCGAAGATATGGGACCATGGAGGAAAAGAATCAATTGTAGCTGAGGTCTGGAAATCCAAGTGGTTGAACATTTCAGGGTTATTTCTGTGGGAGCTTCAGGACTGGATAACAGGCAGATAAACAGGACAGGTTACTTAGAAAGCAGTTCCTTTCTGAGTGGTTCAAGATGTGATAAAGGGGTCAGGACTTTTACAGAAGAGTGATTTCACACAACAATGCTCAAGATATCTTGGACCCTAAGAAATGGTTCCATCTGGGGGCAAATTGTTCTGTCATAGAATCCTAGAATGGTTTGGTTTGGGTTGGGACAGACTTTAAAGACCACCCAGTCCCAACCCCCTGCCCTGGGCAGAGGCACCTTCCACTACCCCAGGCTGCTACAAGCCTCGTCCAACCTGGCCTTGATTTTCTTGATTCTGCTTCTTTCCTCTCTTTTCCAAACCTACATCTCCTAAGCAGAGATGTGATTGTCTGGTTCTTCTCACTAAAATCAAGGTGAGCTCCCCATGTTCCACACCCTTAGAGCCCCAGAGGAATTCTTTTGCTATAAAAAGTCCAGGAAATATAAATCAAGCGCAAAACTGCTCTTGGTGCATCTGTTCCCATGTGGCAGCATGACTTTTTGGTTGCCAGGAAAGCTGGGTCCCAAAGGTGAATTTGCTGTGATTTTTCATTAATGAAACAGGGGAGACATTTATGTCCTTTATGCTGCTTTCATCTCAAAAAAAAGGAAAGCAAAAATTACAGCAGGAATGTTATCCCTACGTGAAAACATCTTAAAAACTTTAAAGTGAGTAAGAGAAAATAAGCTGGCAGTAATCTCTATGAAAAATAAAACCAATCACCGAACAAAACTGAGAAATCGACCTCCTGGATAGCTAAATGATTTCCTTTCCAGGCTTTTTGGTATAATTCTGCAATAAAAATGCATTTCTCTGTGAGCTTTAATAGGAGGATTTAAACCAAGAAAGCCCAACCAGTGAAACCAATTTGAGAAAAGCTCTCGTTCTGTGCACTGTGCAGGGCTCGGCACAGAGCCAGCAAACATGTGCGTGATGTGTGCTCTGTTCCCTCAAAAATTAGCTTTGGACAGGAGCTGTTAAGCACTGTGGCCTGATCCATGATTGCATCCAAAAATATCCCAACATCTGGTTCTTACAATCTTGCTTTTTAACTCTATTGATGTGTGGACATTTCTGGCTCTCCAAGCAGCAATAAAAACAAGGCGGGAGAGTTCAGTCCCTCTTCCGCTCCTGGTTTCAAGCAAAACAAAAGTTTTGGCTCCAAGTTCATGGAAGTTTTATTGTTGGGATCAACTGAGAGCTTTGACTTGCTTCATCACCTCTCCCTCCTGCTCTGTCCCTGTGCTGGAGTTGTGCAATTCTTGTGCAGAGACAGGGAGAACAAGGAAAGGCAGATAAGGAGAAGGCAATCTGGCTATGGCTGGAGGAGAAAAACAGGTGATGGGAGTGGAGCAGCTTTTAGAGGGCCCCATTTACTGCTGAAAAACTGCCCTCAGATCATAGAAACAAAGAATCACAGAACCACAGAATCACTGAGCTGGGAAAAGACCACAAAGATCATTGAGTTCAACCATCAACCAGCACCACCACGTTCACTGCTAAACTCTCCTCCCAAGTGCCACATCCACACCACTCTTTGAGCACTTCCAGGGATGGTGATTCCACCGCTTCCCTGGACATCCTGTGCCAATGCTTGACAATTCTTGATCTCCCCTGGGGCAACTTGAGGCTGTTCCCTCTCCTCTTGTTCCTGTTCCCTGTGAGCAGAGCCTGACACCCCTAGCTGTCCCCTCCTGTCAGAGAATTGTGCAGAGCCAGAAGCTCCCCACTGAGCCTCCTTTCTCCAGGCTGAGCCCCTTTCCCATCTCCCTCAGGCTCTCCTGGTGCTCCAGAGCCTTCCTCAGCTCTGTTCTCTTCCCTGGACATGCTCCAGCACTTCAATGTCCTTCTTGTCATGAGGGTCCCATACTGATCACAGTGTGGGGAAATGCCACTGGAAAAATGCAGAGTCCATAAAGGAGCCAGAGGACCCTGCAGCTTGACTCAGGTGAAGGCAGAGAGGCCCTGGGCACATCCCCGCGGGGTTTTCTCTCTCTCGAGGTTCCGGAGGGCGCAGCCTCCTTTTATCCCAAACTCCGGCCCTCGGTGCCTCTCCCTTCCCCCGCTGGCCGAAGGTGCAGCCTTCCCGAACCGCCTGCCACAGATCCCCCCTGAGCAGGTCATTTACCCCAAAGTTTAGAAACTCAGGGTTGTGCGGCCCCATTTGGCTGTTTCAGGAGCCAAGCTGCCCGGGCTCTGTACAAACCCTCTGCTTGAAGCTGGTAGAGACATTAAACACCATTTCAAAGCTGTTCACACCCATCCCCTCAGCCATGGAACTGTTTGTAAAGACATCAGCACACATCTTCCCTACCAACAGGATTTAAGGTGCAACCTCAAAAGTGCTGATTTCAGGGGAACCATTGTTCTATATGCAGGGTGCCCCGATGAAGGAAGGAATGATGAATCTGACTCCAGGTTCTCAGACAGGCTGATTTATTATTTTATAATACTATATTGTATTAAAGAATACTATACTAAACTATACTAAAGAATATAGAAAGGATACTTACTCAGTGCTAAAAAGATAATAATGAAAACTTGTGATTCTTTCCAGAGTCTCAACACAGCTTGGCACTGATTGGCCAAAGAGTCAAAATAATTCACACCAGAAACCAATGAAACAATCACCTGTGGGTAAACAATCTCCAAACACATTCCACATGAGCAAAACAGAGGAGAAGCAAAGGAGATAATAATTGTTTTCCTTTTCCTTTTCCTTCTCTGAAGCTACTCAGCTTCCCAGGAGAAAAATCCTGGGTGAAAGGATTTTTCCAGAGAATGTGAATGCCACAAACAATCCCTTCCCAACTCCTTGTTCTTGCTTACAATGCAGATAGATGGCAAAACGCCTCATGCAGCTACACAGGGTGCCTGGGAGGAAAGGAAGATAGGATTTTAAATCTGTTGGTAATACATGATATTTGCTCTGGGCTTGTTTCTATAGGTAGCTTGGTTTTATCCTCTTATGAGGAAAAAAATAATCTTTTCCATGCTGTTAGAATTCTGCCTTCAGAACTTGAACTTTCTTATTTTTGTTAAGCTGATGTGCTTCATTTTGGGTTTATATTTTGTTTTCTTTTTGCTGTTGCTTCCCTTTCAAAGTGTATTCATTGCTACAGTGGATGGATATCAACTATGTCTGTAATTTTTGAATGGGTTTGTGTCCTCTTCCTCCATGTTATTTATCATTCTCTACAACTTCCTTAAAGGAGGTTGTAGCCAGGTGGGTTTGGTATCTTCTCCAAGTGATAAAACCAGAGAAAATGGAAAATTTATCACCAAAAGAGGAGTCAAGCACTGGCACTGCCCAGGGAGGTGGTGGAGTCACCATCCCTGGAGGGACTTAAAAGATGTGGCACTTGGGGACAAGGTTTAGTGGTGCCCTTGTCAGTTCTGGGTTAATGGTTGGACTTGATTATCTTAGTGGTCTTTTCCAACCCAAATAATTCTTTGATTCTGTGATTTTTAAATGAGGCCTTTGGCATATCATGAAAGCTTGTGTTTGTTATTATAAAATAAGTGAATGGGAGCTGGAGGTTTTTAATTGTGGCCTTTCATCTGGCAGTGCTGGAAGCGGGGTGGGAAAATGAGACCTTGGAATGAAATTAGGAAGGAAAGAGCTCTTGATTGAATGTTTGGACATCTGAAAGGGAAGATATGAGAGTAAATAACCTGTGCAGCCTCTGATGTGCTTAAGGAAGGAATTCATCAACTGACAAGTTTGTACTTCATTTTCCTTCATCACCTAACAGGTTTGTACTTCATTTTCCACTCCTTACTTTGTTTACCAATATTATTGACCTCTGTAAAAAATACTGTGTGTAAGACTGGGGGCAAGAGATGTGAAGAAGGAGAAGAAGGAAAAAGAAGGGGTGCAGGGAAGCCTTTCTGTCACTGTTCTGAGCTTTATGCTTCAAATTTCTTCTGCAAGCCATTAGTCATGGCAAAGAGTGTTTATTACTTATAGTAAAGTGTTTGCATGTAGTCTGTCAAAAAAAAAAAACCCAAACCAGCTTCTACCTGTGGATTTATATGTTTATTCATATTACAATATTCATATTATTCATGTGATTGTTGTTGTTAAATATATTTGTAAATTACTTGTTTACCTTGGGGACTCTCTGCAGAGCTGGGTAAAAAGATGTAAAGTATATTGGAGTTGGATAAAAAGGTATAAAGTAATATTTACTGTGCAATATTTACTCTCATATCTTCCCTGCTACTACCCAGGGATTTTTCTGTGAAAGGGTTAAAGGTTTTGTGCCAGCTCTCTCCTTCCCCTGGACACAAAGCAAGTGGAAAATTTCTGTGTTGAAATTTGTGTGTCTTGCATCAAATTTTCAGAGGGCATATAGACTGGGGAAAAAGTCATCAGCTGGGTTTTGTTATAGAGGAATAATATTTAGAGAAAGGAAGAAAGAACAGACCACTGAGGCTGGTTCCTTGCACAAGCTTGCCATGAAAAATTGTTTATTCTGGCTGCAGCTCTGCTGTCCAGCTCTAGTTAACAAATTCCAGGCTGGAGTTGAGATTTAATGCTCTAAAGGGCATGTGATTCCTAAGAGGAGGATCTGACAAACACCTCCTTGCAGTCTAAGTTGCAGACTTGTTAGGACCATGTAGTTTTCCCTTTCTCTAAAATATCTGCCCTGCATTTTTATAAATGGATCACAGCCTGTAGATGAAAAACACCGATTGCCCAAAGAAAAACATCACACAGCTCGTTTGGTGAAACCAAGTGAGGAGGTATTTAAGGTCCCATCCAAATTGTTCCAAGTGCAGGATGCAGTCTCAGTCTTTCCCTGAGCCTTGCACACACTGTAAATACCACATCTCATTGATATTTGTGACTGACATGCTGAGAGCTGATGGAGGCCTTTTTTTGTTGTTGTTGTTGCAGCTTAGCAACAAGCAATGACTGGCAAATTTTGCTGCTCTTCAAAATCAATGCCACTTTTCTGGATCATTTCCTCATCTTCACGATCATCTGTCAGAACAGTAAATTGACAATGTGTTGCCAAGGACAGTGTGGGGTCTGCTGCAAGCCTTGATAATTAGAGGATGAATTTAACCTTTTCAAAGTCAAACGTGCTATAGGTTTGGATCCCCCATGAGCATTAACTTGCTTTTGATACTGTTAATCTGGATGTGATTTCTACAGCATTAAACTTTTCCTTTATATTCAAAATATCACATTGAGGACATGCACTGCTTGACTCATTCAGCAGTAATCTGTGTTTGGTGTTAGATTATTGTAATACCTGGGAAACTTCAGCATGGATTGTGATCCTGCTGCATGAGCCCAAAACTAAAAACAGGCTCTGTCCTTGGGAAGTGTGTGTGATGATAAAAAGCAAACAGACAAGGGACACTGGTGAGTGGGAGAGCACAGAAAAAATGAGGAAAATAACTGGTTATCATTGCAGGTGGGATGTGGCTGGCAGTAGCCACATGGGGTGAGCATTCTTGGGGATTTTAGTGGGAATTGGAAAGAAAATAGCCATGTCTACAAGTTTGTGAGCAACTTTAGAAGACGCAAAATTGCCAGTGCACTTGTCTGGAACCACCCCAGGCAATGGGCACTCAGGACTCTGTTGGAAGATAACTTAAAAACCCCTGTTTGCTAATTATAGGTGTCAGCTGTGTCAATCATTTAACATATTCATTAAGAGTAATCAGGGAACAATGCTTGATTAGGATCTCTTTGCTACAGAGCTGTCAGGTGCAAGGCAAAACCAGGAGGCTGTGCCTGGAATGGAGAGAAAAATCACATCAGCTGAAGTCCTTTGTTTTTTAGATGACTCTGAGGTATGAGATTCAAATCTTAAAATTCTTTTTCAGACATCCTGTTCATGCCTATCTCTATACAAAATTCCCCACTTAAACTATATTTGGCTTATTTCTTGGTACTGGAGGAGACAAGTGATTGATATTTGATGGAATGAGAAGGATCATACAAAAAGATGAGAAGATGGTGTCAGTGTGGATATTGTAGTTGGCCAACCAAAAAGGAACGTGATGGCACTGATCACTGTGAGGAAAGGTTTGGCCCAGCCAGGGAGGAGGTTTTTGGTGCTACTGAGAGAGAAAGGCTCTTCCAGGAAACTTTCCCAGAACCCTCTTTGCTAAAAGTTTGCTGTCTACGCTAGAGGCTCCAGCATTTGGGTAATGTGACTTTCTTCTGATAGAGACAGGTGAGTTTAGCCAGTACAAAACTTAACTTGTGCCCCCATCATTGCAATGAGACTCTGCGTGCTCTCAGATGTTTCAAAAGGCACAAGTAAATTTTTCTTTTTGCAGACACAGATTCAAGGCAGCTGGGAACAAAATCTGTCTTCTTAGAGCGTCTAGATTGTAGGATCAGAGGATGGTTTGGGTTGAAAAGTACCTTAAAGATCATCCAGTGCAACCCCTGCCATGGGCAGGGACAACTTCCACTATCCCAGGCTGCTCCAAGCCCCATCCAACCTGGCCTTGGACATGTCCAGGGATCCAGGGGCAGACACAGCTTCTTCGGGCACCCTGTGCCAGGGGCTCCCTACCCTCACAGGGAGGAATTTCTTCATATCTAAACCTCCCCTCTTTCAGTTTGGATATTAGATGTCGATCTGAGCCCCTGGAACGTTGGCCTTCTTTGATAGATTTGCTGTGGTCTGTGAGGTCACCACTGGACATTCCAGAATTCCATGCTACTGGGAAACTCAGAGACTGGACAGTTCTCTTGGATCTTGAATACCACAAGGATGTGTAGACAAATTCATCTTTCCCAAGAAAATATCAGGATATCTATCTATCCATATCTATCTATATTGATATCTATATATATGAAACTGTTGATGAGGCTGTCCTACCACTCTCAAGGTAATCCCTCAAGGAAAACTTGCAGGGACCATCTTAGCTCTTGGAAGTTCAGTTAATATTCCTTAGGATGCTCTTCCTTTTTAAAGGGTAAAGAATATTTCATAAATGCAGCTCTATGAACAAATGTGTCATTTGATATACACAAGTAGTCAGACTTTGTGCTTCTGAGAGTGCAACTTATTTCGGAAATTAAAATCCTTGCAGGACTGAGCTGCAGGGACAAAAAAGGACCCCACAGTTCAGTAACTAAAAAGCAGCAGCTTTGCAAAATTTCTGGAGAAAATTTCAGCCTCCACTTGGAAGGTGTGCTGACTTCCTTGGGCTGAGGTGCACAATAACAATAAAATAGCAATTTTCATCTTATACCGAGTTTCCCGTCAGAGAATAAAATAGTGACCATACTGTTGCCCTTTGCTTGCTTTTTTTGCTTGATGTGATAACTGTGAGTGAGGAAGACCAACATCCTCTCTGTGTTTTCAGACTTTTTACCTTCTCTCTGGTAGCAGAAAGTTGTTGCTGTGAGCTGCTTTTTTGCAGCCAGGTTGGTCATGATGATCTTGTATGCTGTGGGTCTCAATTGTCTTGTGGAAAACAGTTACACTTTGAAAAGTAGCGGATTTTAGCTGCCTGAAATTTAAGTAGACATCATTTACAGATCAGAAGTGCACTCTGAAAGTGACTCTCCCAATTCTCCACGGTTCCCATGCTGTCTTGTCACATCATGGAGCCATGTCAGAGAAAATCAGCTGAATTTCTTTTGGGTGCAAATTAACTGGAAGATGCAATTCTGACAAACATGTAAAATGCCAGTGGACAGTAGGATGGCATATTTCAAAATAAAACCTTCTGAAAAGCACATAGTGTGAACACTGACTCTTCAACACTAATTATTTTGCTCAACAGAGTTTCTCTCTCCAGAGCTGCAGGACTTGTTAAAGTAGACATGGGCTGGAGAGAAAACATGTCAAGAGAAATGCTGGCAATTAAAGTGGAAGCAGAGCAGTAAATTGAAGTGCTGTGCTTATAAAAGAATACCTGACTTAAACACTTGCCAGCTGTACAAAAAATGGCTGTGTGATTGACCTCTGCTGTAATCAGCAGATTCGATTAAGAATTTTTCACTGGACTTCTCAGGTTGTCTTTGAAGACTTGGACAAGATTATTCTTCTGCTGAACTGAATCCCTGCCACCAGTCTAGGGAGGGAGAAAAAAAAAAGACAATTACTTAGAACTTTCACTGAAGATGAAAGGACTTAGAAGTATCTCTGTTATTCTGCTTTCAAAGGGAGCATTTCAGAAGAGCTGGGCTGATTTCTGGCTCTCAGTTTCACAGGGAAGAGAGCACATCTCAGCATGGAGTAGGACATGCCTGGCTTGGAGGTCATGAGTTACTTCTGAGTAAACTGAGTAAATAAAACAAATTACACAGCTGCCACTTTTTACACTTTTTTTATTACATTGTTCAAGTCACCCTTGTGCTTATTGTGGCATCTGACAGCACAAGCCCACTGCCAACCTCAAGGGAAAAAAACCCAAAAATTCCAGTTCTTTGAGCACGTGGCCTCTAGGAGACACAAGGGTTGAGTGCCACTTGTGGGTGATGATACTTCAGCCAGCCCAAGCACTTGCCCTTTGTGTTGAGAAGCAGGAGAAGCTTTGCTCAGCTTATTCAGCTGCTCAAGCACCTTTCAGAAGTTCTCAGGTGGCACATGGTTTGTGAATGCGTGGGAGTGCCTTTCACAGCCTGGAAACACCACTGAGGACAAAGGTGGAAAGCCTTGGCACACCCAAGTGTAAGAGCTTCTTCCCAGGAAATTCCACAGCTCTTAAAAGCCTGGAAAAGTAACCCTGTGCTGTGACTCATCTCACTGAGAAAACAAGTATTGATTAGACATGGCTTTACTAATTAATTTGTATCTTAACAGAGTCATTTAGGTGGTTTTCAAGATCTTTTTCATCCTTAAAATCACTTGTATAATTTATAAAAAAAATCATGAGGTTATATTTTTAATATGATTTTTGCTCAAATTTCTTTTATTTCCATGAAAATTGGGTAAATCACTCTGAGACCCAGAGCTGCAGGACACAGTGTCACTAATTCATTTTGTGAGAAAGTCACTTTCAATTAAATCGTGAGTCTTCAGCAACTTTGTGTTTGCAGCTTATTTCCCTCAAGCCCTATCCATGGTGCTGTTAATCTTTTTATGGCATTACTGATGTCTGCAAGTGAAAATGTACTTTTGAACAGCAAAAATCCTGATCCAGCTGCATTTATCACTTCAGTTCCCAGCTAAGAACAAAGTAAGAGAGCAGTCTGTTTAAAAAAAATTGAAGTGTTTTGATTTTGTCAGTTTGATTATTAAAATGAGAGAAAAAAATGTCATGAAATATTGAGATCTGGCAGAATTTAGAATTGTGTTTAGAATTTGACTGGGAATGTGCAGCTCCAAAGTCCTGATACTTTTTGGCTGCACTGCCATGGCCTCTGTGCTGTGGGACACCTGATAAATCACAGTCAGGGCTGAGTACATAACAGTGGGATGTGTTCTGTGCTTTACACTGCCTTAATTACTCAAATTGTGCCTTTATTTCATTTAAATTGTCAGTTGTAAAAAATTACTTAATTTGATTTTGCAAACACTACTTTATTAGAGGAGAGAGGAGAAGAAGGGGGAAGGAGTACAATGATATTTGCATCTAAACCCAGTCCCAAAAACAAAACAAGAAAAATCCCTTCATTTTTCTGCAAATAAATGAGAATTTGGCCCTTTTTTTTTTTTTCTGGTGAGGAGATATTACACTTCTAGATTTCAAGATATCAGTCTTAGGGTATACTGGATTTCTTGATGCAAATCTCCTTGTGAATACTTTTGTCAGCATTTTCAAAGCTTTTCCTCTCCAGTTTAGAGATTCAGATTGAAAATGTAGTTGGATTATCAATTTGAGCACCCATTATCTATCCATTATCTATTTGCCTTTTATCCCCAAAATGTTGCAGTGGATTCCACAAGTTCCACAATTATTCCATAATTAAAATCTTACTGAGTAAATACACAGTAAATGTGAGGTTTTACTGCCAGTTTTGATAAGTAGGAACCATGTACTGAGTCGAGGTCTACTCGTTATCCATAAATTCCTAATTTTTTCTTAATTGGTTACTTGGTTTTTCCTTTGAATTAATTTTAACTCTCTG